AAGAATATTGTATCAGGGACACTTAATTGTGCCTCTCAGAGGTGGGTGAGTGGTTTCCTAGCAGCAACACGGAGCAAAATAGGAAGAAGCATAAAGGCTTATTGTGGGGAACAAGGAGCCTGAATGAAAATTCGACAAAATAATTGTCTTCTGTGAAGGGAAACACACTTTTCATTAGTGGCACTTAAAGAAAAATGAGTCCCAGCACTGCTGAGAATGTCCTGTACTTCCTTCCTCCTGCTTTGCACAAGGGGAAGCGAAGCGATGTTGGATCAATATTCAACATGCACACACAGAAAATTCCTCCTAATTTTTAAGTTCCATGCTGGTTTAGAGGCAGATTGCAGCGTCCTGAGCATTAACATTAATGTTTCCCCCCCCCTCCCTGCTCTTCAGCCTCGTGCTTATCAAGAAGCCTGAACGCTCAAATATCTCTATTTACAACGAGAGAATCTATTTCTTGATCCATTTTCCTCCGAGCCTACAACTAGAGATTATTTACTGAAGGGCTGGAATCTGCACAAAGAGACGTCTTCTCGTGCTTTGTCAACTAACTGTGAAAATTTCCTGTAACTGGGAAACCAACTGTGGATAAAATGTACTGGATGCCCTCACTGGAGTCTCCAGGTGATGATTTCCCTTCAGAGATGCCAGATCAGAAAAAAAAAAACCACCAAAATTTCTGGAGATGACTTTTTGACTGGGAATCCTGGGAAGAGTTTGATGCTGAACCACCTCACAGTGGGCTCTCCTTTCCACCTTCTCCACAAGCCCCAGGTCTCACAGTAACTCAGAGATGGATCTCTACTGCTCTTCCCGCGTTTCTGACAGCCCAGTTTCCCCCTGGAAACACCATCACCCACCAGCCCAAGGCCATTTTCCCATTCCACGTGCTCTCCAAGGCCTGGGGGAGCCCTAGGAAGAGGGGGGGGACAGGCAGGACACAGCACCAGCAGCTCCTGGGCCACCAGCAAAGGCTCCACGTGGATGTGTTGGGAAGCGCTGCCGCAGCCACAATCTGATCCCAGCATAATAGAGCCTTCCCTGGGCTTGCAAATAACTTCCTTATCTCCCACCAGCATATTTTCACGGGGAAACTTTAATCAGAGAATTCAAAACCCCTCCTGACTGCAGAGAAAGCACCTTGCAGCTATTTTTACATTTGATGTGCTGCGTTTTCCTGCCCTTCCTGATTAACACTCCTCGACTTGGACACCTCCTAAAAGCAACCTCTGAGCAGTGATTTACCTGCCATTTAGTGATTTACCTGGCCAGCTCTGCCAGCACCAGGGCCTGGCATGGGATGCAAAAACAGTCCTTTCAGGGAAATCACTGCAGCTTGTCAACATTTTTCCAACACAAAGGGAATACAACCTCGTGTCGGGATTTTTACAGGGGTACCTGGTGATGGAACAAGGGGTGATGGCTTTAAACCAAAAGAAGGCAGGGATAGATGGGATATTGGGAAGGAATTGCTGGCTGTGAGGGTGGGGAGGCCCTGGCCCAGGTTGGGCAGAGAAGCTGTGGCTGCCCCTGGATCCCTGGAAGTGTCCAAGGCCTGGTTGGAGCACCCTGGGCTGGTGGAAGGTGTCCCTGCCCACAGCAGGGGGCGGAACTGGGTGATCCTTGAGATCCCTTCCAACCCATTCCATGATCCCATGGATAATGACCCCATGGATCTACGATGCCTCACACCATCAGTGAGTGTGCAAACACAGTGATGTTTGTGTGTCAGGCTGGAAAGTACAACTACCACCTCCAGCACGGATGGGAACGCAGAGCAGCACAAAACATTGCTCACAAATGCACAAAAAGAGTGGGATCAGCAGATTATTAATGGGAAAGGAACAAGGGATGTAGCTCAGGGGAGGGGGAAAGCAGGAGCCTGGCTCTGCCAACCCTTATCTGAACAATTCCCCTCTGGAAAGCTTTCCACTGAGCAGGAATGACTGATGGGCAGGAGTCACCCTGGCTGCATCAGACAGGATGATTTGCTCTCCCTGGCCTTTCCCAGCCTCCTGCTCCCCCCTCTCTCTCCTGCCTCGCCGGTAAATAGCGTTAAATCACAGCAAATTAAAACCCTGGGCCCAAAGCGCTCCTGCCATGAGCTGCTGCTCCATCAGATAAAGGACTGAGAGCTGCTCCACAGCCTCTCAACACGTTTTCTAATTTGTTTTTCGGGCATCTGGATGGTTTCAGTCTGTCATTCGTTCACCTCCACAACAAACTGTTTTGGGGGGACAACCCTCACGAGGGAGAGCCCAAAGGAACTCACGTTGTGATCTGGTGATTGCACTGAGAGCTCAGGGTAGGGGGGTTTTGTTATTTTCTCAGGCAACTCAGCCTCAATTTATTCATGCCTGCACTTCAAATTATCTCCACCCGAAATGAGTTTACGAGTATCAGAGGTGTTTCATCTGCCAGATAACGCCGTGAAACCGAGTGTCAGAAACACCTTTTCCTTTGTACCTGTGTTGTCAAATCCTTTCCTCTAAGGAAGGCAGGCTTATCCTTCTATTATTTTTCCCCTCCCCTGCTTCCAGGACAGGAATGTGTCCACTGGGAAGTTTTCTGTAGCCCCAACCATCACCCTCTTGCTTGAGGAAACAGGATGTTCACACTCCACCTGCGGGCTCTCATCTTCATCCAAAAGGTCGGTGCCGCTCCCAGCAAACACATTAAATGAACATCCAAGGATTTTCTACTGGATTGCCTCCACATTTGGAAGGAGAAACTCAAAGTCTTCAACCAGCAGTGGGATGTCTGTTCTACCTTTCCAGCTCCAACTCTCTCACCCCACCCCGTGATATTCCATTAGTAGGATCCATGGGGATGGTGCTGTTTAACATCTCTGCTGGTGATGGGGACACAGTGGGACTGAGGCACTGGCTTCCCACTGCCAGAGGGCAGGGAGAGATGGGATACTGGGAAGGAATTGCTGGCTGGGAGGGTGGGCAGGCCCTGGCACAGGTTGGGCAGAGAAGCTGTGGCTGCCCCTGGATCCCTGGAAGTGTCCAAGGCCAGGTTGGAGCACCCTGGGCTAGTGGAAGGTGTCCCTGCCTGTGGCAGGGGGGTGGAACTGGTTGACCTTCAGGATCTCTTCCAACCCAAACCATCCTCTGATTCTGTGACTAAGGCTGAGCAAGAAGCCCCTTCCCTCACATCTGCACATCCCCTCTCACAGCTGGATTCTGGTTTACAGCTGCTCTTTCCACGCCACAACACTAAAAAATTAAAAATTCACAGCAGATCCAAACAAAGTCACGAGGCTGAGGGGCAAAATTCCAAGTCCTACACGTTCATTTCTCAATATTAACTGTACTGGGCTTTCAAGGAACATTTTTTTTTCCCCCCACTCTGTTAACTGGATCCCGCACAACCCAAAACAGCCCTTTGTGCCAAAAGAGTCCCAAAACACTTGACAAACTCGAAATGCAATTTTAACAGGGTTCTCCTAATCCTCCACTGAAAGGCAGCCAAGTCCTCAGCTGAAACACGGGGGCAGCCTTTGTGAAGGAGACAATTGAGGACCATCAACACACATTTACCAAATGGAACGGGAGGTGGGACCCAGATAAGCAGAAATCCGTTGGAGACACTGGGATTAACACCCGTTCCTTCCCCAAAACAGGCTCATCAAACCCTACAACACAGCCTCTTTTTTGGCTGTGGTCACTTCAGCTTTACAGAGGAGGGTAAAAAAAAATCATCGTCACGAGCGACAAAAGGAATTTCGTCCGGCTTCGATTCGAAGAGACGAGGGCTGAGCCTCGAATTATGACTTATGGGGCTGTAATTTGAGTTGAGACAAAAGAGGAAGATTTCATAAAGATTTCAACACCAACAAAATAACTTCTAGATCTTCGTTTGCTTTTTGACTTCTGGGGCTTCTTTCACCCCAGCTTGAAAACAAAACACAATATTCCAAAGCACCAGAAATCTCGGCCGCCAGAAATCTTGGCCACTTTTACCTGAGAGGGGTAAAAAAATGAATGATTTCTTTAGGAGAAGTTAAAAATTTCTGGTGTGGGGTTGTAAGGAGACAAAATGAATCATCGGGCTGTAATTTGAGTTGAGACAAAAGAGGAAGGAGCAGAGAGTGGGAGAACATCAAAGGGCTCAGGGCAGGGCAGATCTGAGGCAGCACTTACGCTGACACGTCCCCCCGTTGGTGGGATCCCCGTAGTAGCCAGAAATGCAAGTCTCACAGTGTTTGCCTGTTGTCAGGTTCTCACATTTCTCACAGATGCTCTCATTGACACACTTGCTGTGCCCATTACACTGGCAGGCTGGGAAAGAAAAAGAAAAAAAAAAAACAGGAAAAATGATGAGTATTTGTGCTCTAATTTAGTATTTGTGCTCAAATGGACCCTCAGGGGAGCGTGTTGTGCAGAGGGTGAATTTAAACCTTTTCCTGCACCTTTCAGGGAGATTTTTGCATGAGCTCAAAGAGAGAGGGGGGGGTATTGAAAATCTGGAATTCAAAGCAATAGATGGACAACTGATTAGGGGCACAGTTGGCTTGGAAGCTGCTGGTGGGATGGATTACAAGGAATGGGGAGGGGAGCGTTTAACAACAGCACAGGTCAGTTTTTTCCACAGGTTTTGTGTCAGGAACACGAGTTAAAAGTCGTCTCCCATTCATTCACCTGGGCACTGGATGAAGGCCCAGCTGTAGCTGCTCTCCACGGGGCACATGCTGACGTTGAGGACGGGCTCCAGGCTCTGCTTCCCCGCCGGGGACGGGCTGGGCATCCTGACGGGCCCCCGGGAAGAGCCTTCCATGCACTTTCCCTTGCCGGTGTTGGTGGGATCCGTGCACCACCCGCAGCCAGGCTGCTCCAGGCAGTGGGCACACGTGCAGTAGCCCGAGCAGTTCTCAGCTGTGAAAACAACCCCGAAATCAGGGAAGAAATCACACATTCCCCCCCCACCCCCCCAAAAAAAAAAGGCGGCAGCGAAGGCGGAAAGCCCCGCGTGGTTTTTGTGGCCTCGGTTTTTACCTCATCAAATCCACCCACCTTTATCCTGATATTCCCAGTAATATTTATTTGTATCTAAAAACATATTTATTCCAGGATCTCAGCTAACAGAGGTTGCACTAATCAGTGAGTGATGAAACAGCCTGAACCATCACACAGCACCCGCTCAAAACCAGAGGTTAATGTTCCCTCTCCGAAGCATCTCCCGTTGATTTACGAGGGATCAGATGATAAGAGGAGCCATCTGGAAGCAAAGGCTGAAAAACCAGCCTGTTTACCCTCTGTGAGTCCCTTCCTACCACATGTTTTAGTATCACATGCTGTTACTGTGAGCACTCGCCCGAGTCAAAGAGCATAAAAACACAAACCCAGAATGAAGTTCTGCCCTTTAGCCCTCCCTTTCTCCAGTGGAGATTGGATTTCAGGGGGGACAAAACTCCTCACAGGTACAAAACTTCCCCTGTTCCTTTGGCCAGGTCACCTTAAAAAAATAATTCTGTAGATTCTTGGTGTTGCAAGACGAGCAGACTTTCTGTCTTCATTTTTAAATGGACAAGATTTGCCTTTAAAACAGGACCAAAAAAAAATGTAGCAGAAGAAGGTTGTTTTCCATTATTTCAGCTTACTCATCTCCTGCCTGATGCTTCCTCCAACTTTTGACCTCTGGCAACAGGGGAAGTTCACCACTCTAATGTTTGACTGTTCCTGAAACACATTTTCTCCATCCCTTATATTTTGCAACACTTTTGAGCTGCTTGCTCCTGAAGATTTCAACATCAATAAAATAGCTTCTACATCCTCATTTGTTATAGATTTTTGGGGCTCTTTTGCACCAGTTTGAAAAAAATAAAAAGCAATATTCCAAATCTTGGTCACCAGAAATTTTGGTCACATTTACTTAAAATGGGTAAAAAAATGAATGATTTATTTAAGAGAAGTTACAAATTTCTGGTGCGGGGCTGTAAGGAGACAACAGTTCAGAACAAACCAAGTCTGTAAACCCTCATTTGCATTTTGATCAAGATTTCACCATCAATAAAATAACTTCTAGATCTTCATTTGCTTTGAGACTTTTGGGGCTTCTTTCACCCCAGCTTGAAAACAAACCACAATATTCCAAAGCACCAGAAATCTTGGCCACTTTTACCTAAGAGGGGTAAAAAAATGAATGATTTCTGTAAGAGAAGTTAAAAAATTTCTGGTGTGGGTATGTAAGGAGACAACAGTTCAGAACAAAGCACTTGTGTAAATCCTGATTTGGATCTTCATAAAGACTTCAACATAAATAACTTCTGAATCTTCGGGGGTTTTAGATTTTTTGGGGCCTCTTTCACCCCAGTTTGAAAAAAAAAAAAAAAGCAATATTCCAAAGCACCAGAAATCCTGGCCACTTTTACCTAAGAGGGGTAAAAACTGAATGATTTCTTTAGGAGAAGTTAAAAATTTCTGGCGTGGGGCTGCAAGGAGACACCACTTCAGAACCAACCACTTCTGCAAACCCTCCCTTAGGGTTTGACAAAGGCAAAAAAGGAAATCCTGCATTTCCACCTCCCTCCACGGGCAGCCAACCTGCCCCTCTCACCCAGGCTGCTCCAAGCCCACCCAACCCTCGCTCCGGGGAATTTCAAGCACGACCCACGCGGCGTTCCGACGACTCTTCCCATCGGAACACCCCCCCCCCTTTTCCCCCCCTGAGCAATGACTCACGGGGGCAGCTGCTCATGGTGTACCACTCCATGCACTGTCCGTAGGGGAAGGAGGCCACGTAGGCGTTGGAATCCACGCACTGCCTCATGTTGCTGCACCACATGCACTCGGAGCTGCCGCTCGTGCACTCCCCGCACGCCGAGCGCAGGGCGCAGGGGGTGCGGCACTGCTTGGCACTGTGGTTGGCTTGGGGGGGGGGATAAACACAGGGATTCAGACAGGAATTGCTTCCCAGTTATCCCAAATATCCTATCTGGCAGTGGGATCACATTCCCTCTTGTCTTGTCCCTCCCCATGCCTTGTCCCCGCCCCGGTCCCTCTCCGGCTCTCCCGGAGCCCCTTTGGGTGCTGTGATGGCTCTTGCTCAGCCTTCTCCTGTCCAGGCTGATCCTGTCTCTGCAGGGAATTTGCTCCAGTTCCCTCATCAGATTCGTGGTGTCCCCTGGACGTGCTCCAGCAGTCCCACATCCTTCTTACATTGGGGGCACCAGAATTGGGGGCACCACTGCACGAACCATCAAATGACAGAACGGTGACCTAAAAGGACCTTAAAGTCATCTCATTCCACCCCTCTGTGCCACGGGCAGGGACACCTCCCAGCATCCCAGACTGCTCCATGCCTCATCCAGCCCGGCCTTGGACACCTCCAAGGGATCCAGGGGCAGCCACAGCTTCCCTGGAAATGGTGTTAGGAGTGTTGGCTTTCTCTCTCTCTCTCGGCAGGTCTGTTGATGTTTCCCCAGTGAAGGGTTGGGAAGAACCCCAATATTTTAGATGAGCACACTGGGACCTGCTCTAAGTGACGGGATCAGTTCCCCACATCAAACAAGCCCTGAAAGCAGAACTAACTCAGGAGTTTTTAGTGTGAGCCAGCACATTATCATCTGTTTCAAGTGACTGTTCTCGGACCACAGAAACCAAGTTAAAGCTTAAATCAAAGTACTTCGAGTGAAAACACACAGAATTTGGAGTTCAGGTTCACATTTAGGATCTGCATCCTGCACTTCCATAAAGAACCATTTCAAGTGGTTCTCACTTAAAAAATTTTATGTAATCAACCAACTTTCTCAATACTTAAAAGAGGCACTAATTGGCATTCAGAAATAATCAGCTATAATGGAGAATGAGCAGACCAAGCCATCTGAAAAGATATGCAGTTCCTACAAAGCTGCAAGACTTTTCCCAAAAGCAAATAGCTTCTTTTTCTTTTTTTTTTTTTTTTTTTTTTT